TCAATGTATTCTTGAATTCAGTTTGCTATATTTTATTGAGAATTGTTGCCTGCATTTTTTTTTAATTTATCTCTATATATTTTACATCAGTATTCATTTTGGTACAGTTTGCTTTCATCTCTCATATGTTAGTCCCTACAAAATTCCCACCACCAAGTCACCCATGAGCCATCACCATAGTCCCTTGTGCTCTTCCCTCTTGCTCCCCACCCCCCTGCTGCTGAATGTCTCCGGATTTATAGTTGCCTGCTAGTTTTGTCTTTTTCCCTTCTGTTTATCTGGGTTATTTTTCTATAGTTTTCTTTTCTGTGATGTCTTTGCCTGCTTTTGATATCAGAGTAAAGTTGGCCTCATAAAATGTGTTTGAAAACATTCCTTCTTTCTCAATTTTTTGAAGACTGTGAAAGATAGCAATTTGTTCATCTTTGAAGATTTGGTAGAACTCATTACTGAAATTGTTTGGTTCTAGACTTTTGTATTGGAGAGACTTTTGATTGCTGGTTCAATTGCATTACTTGTAATTGGTTTATTCAGGTTTACTAACTTTTTGATTTAATCTTGATCCGTTGTAAATTTCTAAGAATTTGTAATTTCTTCTAGGTTATTCAACTTACTGATGTAGAGATGTTCGTAGTTTGATCCTATTTTGTTTCTCATTTTATTTATCATAATTTTCTCCTTGTTTTTCTTTATGCACCTAGCCAGAGGTTTGTCTATATTTTTTTTTGAAAAAAACATATTTTTTATTGATCTTTTAATTGTCTTTTTAAATTTTCTGGTACAATTTATTTTTGGTACAATTTTCATTATTTCCTTGCTTCTACTGGTTTTTGGTTTTGTTTTTTCTTCTTTATCTAGTTTCTTGAGATGAAAGGTAAGATCATTTAGTTGAGCTTTTTTGTGATTCTTGATGTGAGCCTGTATTTCTATAGTCTTCCCTCTTTGTACTGCTTTTGCTTCTTTTACAAGTTCTGATTTTTTGGGTCTTCATTTTCATTTGTCTCCAGGTACTTTTTAACTTCTCCTTTAATTCCATCATTAACCCAGCAGTCCTTCAGTAGTGTGTTGCTCAGATTCCATATATTAAAGACTTTTTCCTGCTTTATCTTTCTAGCTTGATAGCATTGTGATCTGAGAAGGTATTTAATGTGACTTTATTCTTCATGAACTTATTAACACTTGACTTTTGACCCAATGTGTGTTGAATCATGATGGATGTTCTATGCGCACTTGAGAAGAATTTGCTTTTAGGGTATATAGTGTAATATCAATCTTTATTACATGCATGTGATATAATTCCTCACTTAAGGCTACTGCTTCTTTATTTTCTGTTAAAGTGAAGTATTGAAATCCCCTAGTACTATATATAAATAGTATAGACATGGAATATATATATAGACATGGAATCAATACATCAGGAAAACATGCACCATATATATATATATATATATATATATATACACATATGATTTTTTTATTTTTGTACTATATTTAATTAAATGTGATAGCCATTTTCAGTCATCATTTATGTATTTATCTTTATTTCTGTTAATGTTGTTTAGACTTAATATATATGCTTATGATACATCTCTAATTGTCCATATGAATTTTATCTAAAGATCTGATGAAAGCTCTTCTTCATTAATTAACCCCTTTTTTCTTATATCTTATGTTTATCTGAATATTTTAAAAGAAGCTTATAGTAGAAACAGAAAAAGATGAGAGACAATGGAACCAAAATAGGAAATAACCACCATTATGTTATAATTTAAGAGTTCTTATTAACCATCTGTGACTTTAAGGAAGTTATGATAGCAGTGATAATATTTTAATGATTGCATTAAAAGTAATTCAGACACTAAGATTCTGAAAAATATGATGTTCACCTAAGGGGAGAAGGGAGGGTGGAAAAGGTTGAAAGCTAAACATGATTGCATAGTGGCACTAGATTTTGATGGTGAGTCAGTAAAGCAAGTGCATATGACAAGGTATGAAGTTATACTCCCAAATCACATATTTTTAAATGAATAGTAATCAATATAATTTGAGTAAAATTGAATGATAATAGTAACAATAAACTGATGTCCTCTCTCACCACTGCTCTTCAATATAATACTGGAGCAGGGCAATACGACAAGAAAAAGACATAGAAGGAATTCAAATAGGGAAAAAAGAAGTAAAAATCTCACCATTTGCAGATGATATAATAATATACATAGAGAATCCTAAAAATGCCACAGAAAAACTACTCAAAATAATCAAGCAGTTCAGTAAAGTAGCAGGATACAAAATCAACATGCAAAAATCAGTAGCCTTCCTATATGCAAACAATCAATCTGAAGAAGAAATCAAGAAAACTATCCCTTTTATAATTTAAACAAGAAAAATCAAATACTTGGGAATAAACCTAACAAAACAGGTGAAAGGCCTATACAAAGAAAATTATAAAACACTCTTAAAACAAATAGAAGAAGACACAAAGGAATGGAAAGACATCCCCTGCTCATGGATTGTAAGAATTAACATTATTAAAATGTTCATCTTACCAAAAGCAATATACAGATTTAACGCTATTCCAATAAAAATATCAATAACATTCTTCAAAGAAAAAGAACAAATACTGATGAAATTCATATGGAACCACAAAAAACAAAAACACGAATAGCCAAAGCCCTACTGATGAAAACAAAGGAGAAAATAGGTATCACACTTCCAAACGTCAAGCTATACTACAAAGCCATAATAATTAAAACAGGTTTGTATTGGTACAAAGACAGACACATAGACAAATGGAACCAAATAGAGAGCCCAGAAATAAAACCACACTTGTATGGACAACTGATCTTTGACAAAGGAGCAAAGAACATGCAATGGATAATGGACAGTTTGTTCAATAAATGGTGCTGGGAAAACTGGACCTCCACATGCAAAAAAATGAAACTAGACCACTACTTCTCACCATGCACAAAAAATCAACTCAAAAGGGATTAGAAAACTGGACATAAGAACTGAAACTGTAAAATATGTAGAAGAAAATATAGGTAAAACACTACAAGACATACATCACAATGACATCTTTAAAGACTCATCAACCAAAGCAAAGATAGTCAAGGAAAAGATAAACAGCTGGGGTTACATCAAACTGAAAAGATTCTGCACAGCAAAAGAGACATTAGGCAAAACAGAGAGATACCCCACTGATTGGGAAAAAAAATCTTTGCAATCCATTCAACAGATAAGGGACTGATCACAAAGATATACAAAGAACTCACATGACTCAACAAAAACAAAATAAACAATCCAGTCAAGAAATGAGCAGAACTTAAAAGACATTTCTCCAAAGAGGAAATGTAAATGGCCAACAGGCATATGAAAAAATGTTCAACATCCCTTATAATCAGGGAAATGCAAATCAAAATCACATTGAGATACCACCTTACATCAGAAAGCATGGCACATATCAAAAAAATAAGCAACAACAAAGGTTGGTGAGGATGTGGTGAAAAAGGAACTCTCCTACATTGATGGTGGGACTACAAACGGGCTTATGGAAAGCTATCTGGATGTTCCTCAACCTAGTAAAAATGGAGCTACCACAGGACCCAGCAATTCCACTACTAGGCATCTACCCAAATGACACAAAAACATTGATTAAAAAGAACACCTCTACACCTAAATTTATTGCAGCACTGTTTACAATAGGTAAAACCTGGAAAAAAAAACCAAAATGCCCCAAAATAGATGACTGGATCAAGAAGATGTGGTATGTGTACACAATGGAATATTGTTCAGCAATCAAAAAATAAAATCATGCCATTCGCAGCAATGTGGATGGAGCAAGAAGAGATTATGCTCAATAAAATAAGCCACAAGCAAGAAAAAAAAAATCAGATGGTTTCACTTATGGCAAGAATATAGGGGAACCATCTGGTATTTTTCTCTGTCTTTTTGGCTTATTTTGCTGAGCATGATCCCTTCCATCTCCATCCACATTGCTGCAAATTGCATGAGTTTATCTTTTTAGATTGCTGAGTAATATTCCATTGTGTATATGCACCACATCTTCTTGATCTAGTCATCTATTTTTTGGGCATTTGGATTGTTTCCAAAGCTTAGCTATTGCAAATAGTGCTGCTATAAACATAGGGGTGCAGGTGCCCTTTTGAATTGATGTTTCTGTGTCATTTGGGTAAATATCTAGGAGTGGAATTGCTGGATCATATGGAAGCTCTATCTTAGTAGGTTGAGGAATCTCCGTACAACTTTCCATAGTGTTTGGACCAGTTTGCGCTCCCACCACCCTAAATAATGGACCAGGAAAAATAATATCTATAACAAAGAAAAAATCAAAATCAACAAGCAACTGTAAACCAGAGACACACTACTGTGGTGGTGGGGGGAGGAGGGATTGGGGTCAAAATAAGGGGGGTGCAATTGTATGTGGAATATAACCAAGATGAAAATGCATACATTGTGCAAAAATGAAAAATGATGTAAGAAACATATAAAACAACAAAAATAAAAAAAAATCATTGCAATTAAAAATAAAATGAATATAGGGGAACCAAATAAGACATCAGTGTAAAAAAATAATAACATCACAAAACACCACAAAGCAAAAACAGAGAAATATAAGTCAGAGACATACTGCAAGGGAGGAGGCAGAAGAGGGATGAAAGGGAGGGAGGGAGTGAGGAGCAAAGGAGACTGAGGTGATGCTGCACAGGTGCATTGGTGAAGGAAACTTTATGGGGACTACACCTGAGGGGGTGGGGGAAGCAAATATTGTTTAAAAATGAATCATGATGTAAAAAATAAATAATAATAATAATAATAAATTAAAAAATAAAAATAAACAGTAATAATAAATTAAAAAATTAGTTTTAGCATTATCAGGAAAGATAATATCTACTGTGAATGCCTTGGTACTAATAATAAAACCTTTTGGGAGCATTTTTTGCTATCTGTTGTCAATCTTCTTTTCTCTCATAATCTTAAAGCCATGGGAATAAACAGGAATTCTCCTGCAGAGGAATACAACTTGCTGTGGATTGGTTTCTAGATAAAGGCCATAAGAGTATTACTGTATTTGTGCCTGCTTGGAGAAAGGAGCAATCCCGCCCTGATGCACCAATTACAGGTAATATTTCAAATCAGACATATCTTCTTATCCAGAAGTAAAGCTAGTAAAGTAGTTTAGTGAGCGGTTGATGGTCATAATTTAGATAATTATTTTCTAAGTTTATTAAGTATACTTAAAAGATCTTTTACCAAGTGAATTTTTAAGTGTGAATTTTCTGATCTAAATAAACCCACTATTGTGTTGTGTCATAGGGCAGTTAAATCTAGCAACTTCAATTTCGCAGAGAATAAAGCATACAGCTGAAAAGAAAAACAAAATAAAACAAAACAAAAAACAGGGTACTTTTCTATTTGAACATAAACCAGACTAAAAGGGGAATGAATATGGTTATGAATGTGACTATATTTTCAAGTCTAAATAAACAATGTTAGACAATGGATCTCATTCTATACTACAGAAATAATTGTAGGGGTTGCAAATTATGGGATAGAATAGAGAATGAGAGAAGCCCCATGGCAGTCAGAGTCAATTTATCTGTGAGCCACAGTTGGCCCAATGCCTAAGGTCCACAATACATTTATAGTCCCTTACAAATATTATTTTATTTTATTTTAACATCATAAGAAAAAATTAATATGATAATAAATAATAATATATCTAACTAGAGTATTTGTCTTTATACCAACACAGATTTTAAGTATAATTTTTAATATTTCTTTATGGAGGAATGGGCCCACTAAAGCAAAAGTGTTTATTTTTCACAAAAGTCATGTGTTCCTAATAGCAGTAGGATCTTTACATTCACTTACAGCAGTAAATGAAGCTTGTTCTCTGTAGCATTTCAAGGCATATAGACCCCAGTTCTTTAAGTATCATCTCTTGCTGATTTGCCAAATAAGAAAGTCCAGTGAATGGCTGTCAAAGCTATGTCACAGAAATGTCTGCTAGCTGCTGAACAGGCTCCTGATTATTTGAGCAAACCTTCTTTCCTGAACAATTAAGAGGTTAAAAGGAAAGAGGGTCAGTAATCACATGCTACAGATTGATGTTTCCCCTTAGTTGTGATCCTCCTTCAAGCAGAATGCAAAACTTTCCTCCTGGCAGACAGCTCCTCAGAATACTGCCCTGTTTTCTTAACCAGCCAAAAGCTGGTCCCTCAGCAAAAAGGCAAACCACGCATCAAGAATGTTATCAGTGTGATTTCTCATTATTGGTATTTTTTTTTATTTTTATGTCATTAAATTTGATTCCTTCATTTTATCAGTTTAAAAAAAAAAAATGAAGTTCAATGGTGAAGGTGACTTGCCTAAGGTCACAATCCAAATTGGTGCCATATCTAGAAACAGAGACCACTTTCTTTCTAAGAACAAATAATATATCCATCTAGTACCAACTTTCATATTTGCAGTATGGGGATAATTTCTGTCTTGTGGTATGTCAATCCATATTTCAACAGATCAAGATATACTACGTAAACTGGAAAAGGAAAAGATTCTTGTCTTCACACCATCCAGAAGGGTCCAGGGCAGGAGAGTTGTCTGCTACGATGACCGGTTCATAGTTAAACTGGCTTTTGATTCTGATGGCATCATAGTATCCAATGATAACTACCGAGACCTTCAAGTTGAAAAACCAGAATGGAAGAAGTTTATAGAGGAGCGGTTGTTAATGTATTCTTTTGTGAATGACAAGTACGTTTCTTTTCAGTAGGCACCAAATAGCCTAAATCGAAGTTACAACTAGGGTTAGATTTCATTTCAATAAACCTTTAGTAAACACTTTCTGTATACTGTGCGTTATGCTGATGGCCATGGGGATAAAGGCTGAATAAGAAATGAGACTCATCCTTAAAACACTTAAAGTGTAGTGGACAGAGAAAGAGACAAACCCATTGTGAGACAAACAATAAGTGCTATGCTTGGAATTTTTTTAAAGATTTATTTATTTATACATGCACTGGGCTACATGCCAGAGGCACGGGAGGTGAGAGAATTCACCAGAGACAATGCATGGAGCAGAACAGGCAGAAGGACAGAAATACACTGCTGAGGGGAGCAGTGGGCGAGACAGGATAGGTCTGCTGCGCCATGTGGGAATCTCCCTGGCTGGCTGGGAATCGAACCGGTGCTGCAGAGGCTGCGGACAGCCTCACAGTGCTGCGCTCAACCTCCTGCTCCACCGGGGAGGCCCTATGGTTGGAATTTTTAAAAGTTGCTTTGTCTATGCGAAATGATAAAAAATCACTTCGAGATAAAATATACAGAAAAGAAAGGGGGCTGCTGGACATTAACAGTAAAGAGGACATCATAAACAGTAAGGATATAAGGAATGAAAGTGTGTTGCATATTGGGGAAACCAGCAGTATATAGCCCATGGAAGAATGATACACATCTTTATTTGTGATTAAATGTGAACAGAGGGAAGGACTGCTGGCTTAGTAGAAGATAAACTAGGAAAGAAGGGCAATTAGAAGGCTGTGCCTTTCTTTCCTTGTTTATCTTCTTCAGAAATCAAAAAAGATAAACTCACGTCATCCGCAGCAACGTGGATGGAGCTAGAAGGAATTATGCTCAGTGAAATAAGCCAGAGGGAAAAAGAAAAATACCAAATGGTTTCACTTCTAGCAGGGAATATAGATGAACCAAATAAGACATCAGTGTAAAAAAACAATAACAGCACAAAACACAGCAAAGCAAAAACAGACAATTATAAGTCAGAGACATACTGCAAGGGAGGAGGCAGAAGAGGGATCAAAGGGAGGGAGGGAGGAGCACAGGGGCCTGTGGTCATGGTGCAGGGGTGCATTGTTAAAGGAAACTCTATGGGAACTACACCTGAGGGGGTGGGGGAAGCAAATATTGTTTAAAAATGAACAAGGATGTAAAAAATACTACAAAATTAATTTTACAAAAAGGCTGTGATGACAGTATAGGCTAGTGGTAATGCAAGTATGAACTTCTGATAAGTGATAGTGGGCACAGAGGAAAGACATTTACTTCCTGCTTGCGAACTTTCAGATTTATGCCTCCAGATGATCCTTTAGGACGTCATGGCCCAAGCCTTGAAAATTTCTTAAGAAAAAGACCTGTTGTTCCTGAGCACAAGAAGCAACCATGCCCTTATGGTGAGTACCTCTGTGTAGAACTGAGTTCTATGGGAAACATAAATACTCTGAGAATACTTTTAATGTTTCCCTTTCAACTAAAAAATTCCAGCTAATTCACTTTATGTGGGTTAAAGTCTGTATCTTCATATATTCTCAGTTACACATTTAAAGACACATCCTAGAAACTGTATTAGTTGTTACTTGTTAGAATGATGCATTGTGCTCTAGCTGTTCCTGTCCTGAGCAGTGTCATTGAGGGCTGGAACTTCCAGAAACCCTCATGGCCTATGGAAATAGAAAGGACAATGCCAAATTGGGCTTGTCACCAAGAAAGATGTATCTCTCAGGCAGCTATCTATACCCTTTGTCAACTATCAGTAATCATACCCTTTTCTTCAGAACGCTACATTTCAGTTTGCTTCCAGACTTCATTTTAATTTGCTTTTAAAAAATAAAAATATTGGGGCCTCCCCTGGTGGTGCAGGCAGTTGAGCGCCACACTGTGAAGCTGTCCGCAGCCTCTGCAGCGCCGGTTCGATCCGGCTGGCCGACGAGGGTCCTACATGGTACGGCAGAACTCTCCTGTCGTGCCCGCTGCTCCCTTCAGCAGTGTATTTCATCAGTCTGCCTGTTCTGTTCCCCGCTCTGTCTTTGGTGAATCCTCTCACCCTCCCGCGAATCTGGCCTGTACCCCAGTTCTTGTATAAATAAATAAAAAGAAATCTTAAAAAATAATAATATCATTTTCTAGAGTGCATTCATGATCTTAAGTGCCTCTCATACAAAATTCATGAGCCTAACCATGAAATATGGGTTGCCTGGTCTGAGGCTACTTTGAATATTTCACTTTTTGTTTATGGCTCATCTTTGGTTTTTTTCTTCACAAATAACATTTTTTTTAAATCATAGCATTGCTTCACATTTATTATCTTTATTCCATCTTCACAATGACCCTATAACATATGCATGATTATGAGCCTAGTTTATAGAAGAGAAAAATGAAGCTTAAGAAGTAAAGTTACTTACAAGATCACAAGATCAGTAAGTGACATAACTAGGATTGAAACTTAGCTCTGAGTAGTCTACAAGCCTGTGCTCTTTGCAGTGCATTATCCTGCTTGTTGCTGCTCTACACTATTTCTTCCTATGTTGTACCTAGTAAAAGTTGTGTGGAAATGAAGACTTGTTCAACTCTCAGCTTTCAGTTTTTTTTTTTTTTTTTTAGTTTTCCATTTTATTTATTTTAACATTTGCCATTTTTCACATTTTTTAGACAATATTTGCTTCACCCCACCCCCTCAGATTGAGTCCCCAGAGCACCTGTACACCTATGTTTATTTCAGCACTATTTACAATAGGTAAAACCTGGAAACAACCCAAATGCCCAAAAATAGATGACTGGATCAAGAAGATGTGGTATATATACCCAATGGAATATTATTGAGCAATCAAAAAAGATAAACTCATGCCATTTGCAGCAACGTGGCTGGAGCTAGAAGGAATTATGCTCAGTGAAATAAATCAGAAGGAAAAAGAAAAATATCAGATGGTTTCACTTATAACAGGAATATAGGGGAACCAAATAAGACATCAGTGTAAAAAAATAATAATAACAGTACAAAACACAACAAAGCAAAGACAATTATAAACCAGAGACATACTGCAGGGGAGGAGGGAGAGGGGTGAGAGGGAGGGAGGAGCTCAGCTTTTAGTTTTCATACTGCAGTTTCTCTCTAGCTTTCCTTTTCTACCCCCTTTCTTCACAGTATATGATACCTCCTTGGTATTGTCTGCCTCTCATCTTTATGGTCCATTAATTTTCTGCCTTAACCCCAAACTTGTCACCTGGGTGACCAGTTTTTAGCACAGAGAATTGCACCACTGTGAGACAATCTTACCTTAAGGCACTATTTTTCAGGCAAAAAATGCACCTACGGCCACAAGTGCAAATACTACCATCCAGAGCGGGCCAACCAACCCCAGCGTTCCGTGGCTGATGAGCTCCGCATCAGTGCCAAACTGTCCACGGTGAAAACCATGAGTGAAGGCACCCTGGTCAAGGGTGGTACAGGGCTGCCTATTGCCAAAGGTGAGATAACTTCAGAAGTCAAACGTGTGGCCCCCAAGCGCCAGTCAGATCCCAGTATTCGGTCTATGGCTGTGGAGCCTGAGGAATGGCTGTCCATTGTCCGTAAAGCTGAGGCAAGTTCTGTCCCCTCACTTGTCACCGCCCTAAGTGTCCCCACAATCCAACCCACCAAAAGTCATGCAGTGGGTGCACTCAATACCCGTTCAGCCAGCAGCCCAGTGCCAGGATCCTCTAATTTTTCCCACCAGAAGGCCTCTTTGGAGCACATGGCCAGCATGCAGTACCCTCCCATTCTGGTTACCAATAGCCATGGCACCCCTATTAGCTATGCTGAGCAATACCCAAAGTTTGAGTCCTTGGGGGACCATGGCTACTATTCAATGTTAGGGGATTTCTCCAAACTGCATATTAACAGCATACATAATCGAGAATATTATATGACTGAAACAGACTGGGGTGTTTATGCCCGGAACCCCAGCCTTTGTCCTGACAGCTGTATGAGCCATACCAGGAACGACAACTATTCCTCTTACAACAACCTGTACATGGCTGTAGCTGATGCCCATCCTGGAAGCAGTTTGAAACTGCATCGTTCAGCATCTCAAAATCGACTCCAGCCTTTTTCTCATGGTTACCATGAAGCCTTAACACGAGTGCAGAGCTATGGCCCAGAGGATTCTAAACAAGCCTCCCACAAGCAGTCAATTCCCCACTTAGTTCTGCATGCCCAGCATTCAGCAACTGGAGCATGCTCCACCTGTGCTGGAGACTACCCCTTGCCCCCCAATACATATCCTGGTGTGATGCCCCCGCAGCCAGGACGTGCCCTAGTGATGACGAGGATGGACAGCATTTCTGACTCACGCCTTTATGAGAGCAACCCCATAAGGCAAAGGCGTCCTCCTCTGTGCCGGGAACAACATGCCAGCTGGGACCCACTGCCATGTTCAACTGATTCCTATGGCTACCACTCCTATCCCTTGAGTAACAGTCTCATGCAGCCATGCTATGAGCCAGTCATGATACGAAGTGTGCCTGAAAAGATGGATCAACTTTGGAGGAATCCTTGGGTTGGAATGGGCAATGATTCCAGGGAGCATATGATCCCTGAGCACCAGTATCAGACCTATAAGAACCTCTGCAATATTTTTCCTTCAAACATTGTCCTTGCGGTGATGGAAAAGAATCCCCACACAGCAGACGCTCAGCAGTTGGCAGCCTTGATTGTCTCTAAGCTTAGGTCTGCACGTTGACAAGATACAACTTATTCCTTTATACAGATATGAATATTGATGCTAATAATGCACTAATACTATGTAATTAACAATTATGTGTTGGGCTTTACAAGTTACAAAGTATTTATACCATTGAAGTGCATAACCTTGTGAGGTAAGTCTTACTAATGTTTTGTTTCCTGGACAAGAAAATTTAAAACTTGGTGAGATTAAATGACTTGCCAAGTTCACACTGCTACCAAATGACCAATTCAGAACTCTCACCCAAGTCCTCTGACTCCAAGTTCCATGCCCTTTTGCACTGTACCATGCAGGCAATGGAGAATAAAACCTAGGGGGAGAGGCCTAAACTCAAGAAACCCCAACGGATTCCATTATCAGCATTTTCTTAGTCACACATTCTATATTACCATGTATCGACGATACATGTAATTTAGAGTAACAGCATCAGGATCAGATCGTATGTGGAATTAACCTTCTAGGATTTGTAATAGGAATATATATGGCTATTTAAAAGTAAATGAATACTTCATTGCATGGCTATCTGACCATTCAATATCTTTAATAACCACATTATTGGGTCACATTGAAGTTTCTAGAGCTATATTTCAAACTTATTGTTAGCAATTATGTTGCATGTGCGACTATATGTAGATTAAGATGTGTATATGTCTCTGTATTACCTTCTAGATAAAAGATAGATGGTGAAAAGATAGATGCTGCACCATCCTCAATCTACAGCTGTGTAGATCACAAATCTTACTCGACTTTTTTATATGACATTTCATAGTTTCAACTAGTTTTGAAAGTGAAATTATATGCCTATATTTGAACATTGCTTTCCTAGGTATCAGAGCAAACCAGCTCTATTTCCTTTGCACTTTTTACTTGTCAACATTTATTGACAGTTCTTATTAGCTTTCAAGTCTCTTCATCTCAGCAATTAGGGGTTAGATTGCAGCCTTCTTCTGAAGATGTGTGTGCTAGACAAGTACAAAAGAGTTTGAACAGGACCAAGGGATTTACTACAAGAATTGGCTTCCCTTATCCCAAAAGAAATAGCTAAACTCATAAAGCATTCAGTGATGAACACAAAAGCTGCACTCAAGAAGGGATTGACACAAGTCTTTGGACTCGTGACCTATGCAGTATTCAACACCATGGGATGAAATACAATGGAAGACAGTGCACAGCCATGCAAACCCTTTCTCCTGCTGTCCATTCTTCGGGTGATAAGGTCAATCATTCACAGAGCAGAATTTAAGAAACAAAACCAGAGGATCTTCTAGGTTGAAAAGGCAGCTTCCAAAAAGGGATGCTGCATGTTTGTAATAGTTGTCATTTTTAATCCATGCAAGGAGGATGAAGTGGCCCTTAGATAATTCTTTAAGGTGTTAAGAAAGAAGGCAGGACTTTGCAACACCATTTGTGCAACTTGTATCTTGTTCAGGGAGGGTATATTTGTAGTTAAATGCCTCTTGAAGAGGTGTTTATTGTTTTGTTTTGTTTTGCTTTGTTTTTAAGCTGCCCTAAATGAACCCCCTTTTTGAATCCATTGTATACTTCAACATTTTGAACCAGCTCACTATTTCTTGAGCTGAGACTTGCTAATTTCTATGGTCTTTTTTTTCATGAAAGTTGAGAAGGCCTGGTCTTGGCCTTTGTTTCTTCATAAGAAGGTGTGACACTGCCTATAAATGTTTCTTACTGTGAAACACTCCGAATGTGAGCCTGCAGTCAGGGTTGTTTCTGGTGGTTTGATAATGGCTTGCATGCTGCTTTCTGACTTTGTCTCTGTCCCTAGTTGATCAAAACTGCATCTCAACCAATGTTTCTCTTTAGTTAACCACAACTTCACATTCATCTCCTACCCTCTGATCTTCCCATCCTCCCGCATATTAATGTGTAAAAGCATTTCTTATCAGGTAGGTCCATAAAGAGTGACAGTTGCCACTGAAGTACTTGCTATTTCACAAAACACCACCTCATACCTTCAACATTTTGGGCCTTCTAAATCTGTCCCATGTTTAAATCAGGGTGTATGACAATCTTAGTTGACTTTACTGCCTTTGTGCCATTCATCTTCCTACCAAAATCATCAATGGCACTATGGTTTCCACTAGCTGCACAATTTACAGGGAAGCACAAGAATACTCTTGTCAGCTGCAATTCTCATCCTGAACATGTTCATAGCACTCAAAAAACTTAAGCTACTCCCAATACGGGAAATACTTTTAAGGCAGCATATGTATTTATTTACTAAAGACAATGGCCATTCTCTTCATAAAATGTGTATGAACCAAAGCAGCTAAAAGCAATGCTCAAATAACCAGGAATGACCTTTTGTTGATGCAAATTGTATCTTTTTTTCCTGATTGTATAGAAACAAATGTACAAAACTCATCTTAAAATAGGTTTGCTACTGGTTTTTCATTATGTTTGTGGCACTGTGTGTCACAGGGAAGTAGCCCAGGGATTGTGAGGGAGCTTTTATTTCCAAAGGGCAGTAGTAATTTATAGACAAAGACAATTTTTCAAGGCCTCTTTATTACTGTGCACACAGGAATTGTGTGTACAATTAATTTCAAGCATTACAATGCACAAGTTCTCTTTAGCCTATTAATGTCCTTGCAAAAGGGATTTTGTGTAAAGTCGTCAGTGAATCACCTGTAAAAATATATAAAAGGAGGGCCTCCCCGGTGGCACAGCGGTTGAGTGCTGCGTTACGAAGCTGCCCGCAGCCTCTGCAACGCCGGTTCAATCCCCGGCTGCTCCCTGGCCACAGGAGGAGGGTCCCACATGGCGCGCAGACCTCTCCTGCCACCCGCTGCTCCCCTCAACAGTGTACCTCGGTCCCTCTGCCTGCTCTGTTCCCCGCTCTGGCTCTGGTGAGTTCTCTCACCCTCCGTGCTTCTGACTGTACCCTGTGCTTGTATAAATAAATAAATAAATAAATAAATATATATATATAAAAGGAGCTACACAAATATGAATGCAAATATCCAGCTTGCTTCTTCATTACTAAAGAAACATTTTTTTTTTAATATTGAGGTCTGCAGCACAGTTCCTGACTTTCACATTTTGTCTATAATTATAAAACAGCAAATACAAAGAAGTACTGGGACTCCTTTGGCTCCCTTAATAATAAAATCAAGCTTCCTTTGTGGGGCTAAGAGTGTGTCCTTCAGGATACTTACCTCCAAGCACTCAGCAGGGGGTTACTACACAGTTTTGTGTAATTTTCAAGAAGCAGAACATTTTGCAAGAGGTGCTTTGTAATTTTAAGTCTCTGAGTTTCTGAACTCATAGCAAGTCTGTGCCTGTTCAGGTCCTAAATTTTATAGATTTTGTGATTTTTTTTTCTTTTCATGATTTGTTATTATTTTGACCTGAAGAACTGTACCTCTGGAGTGGCATTGTCAATCCAGGGTACTGCTTCTGTAAGACCGTTCAAAGGAAAGTAGCCTTTTCAAAGGGAACATACAGCCATTATACTCTTGTACTCTCTCTTAAGGTGCAAGGTATGGAAGGGAGAATGACAGGTGCCTTATGGAGATGGTCCACACGATTTTTCTTCTTCTAAGTAATGACATACACACACACATTCCATCTCTCTCTCCACCCCCTTCCCGTATCCCCTCCCCCCATCTACTATCTTCCAGGAGAAAACTTTGAAAACCCATTTTTTTCTATTTAGAAATAAATTATCTTTCTATAATTGATATCCACTTTCTACATTGATATCCACTAATCCGTGGCACTGGGTTTTCTTCTAATATAGAAGAGTTCATTTTGAGAGACGCTCAGTTACCATTCTATTTATGCTGTAAGTATGGGACTTTGTACAAATGTCCTTGTTTAGGGCCAACAATTTCACTACACTTTGTTTTCCTCTGAGAACCACATCTGAAACTTCACAAAGAAAGCAATGTTGAGCTGTTCAAAGAGTCCTCCCTACTCAGGTCTCCTTCTAACCCTTTTCTGCCTTCCACTCTAGTTTGTTACTCCTCAGGTCTTGTAACTGAGGAGTGGAGTTTTCAACAAAAATGGCACTACCTTTAGTTCTCATTGGAAACCAGTATATTTCTGTAACCTGCTTGTCTAGTCTATGCCTTTGAAAAGACCAAGCACACTCATCATCTATCATATTCTAGCCAGCTATATACATAGGCAGAACGACTACTTTTAGTCTTGGTTTGTGTATCGCTGAGCTGTAGTAGTATGCTTTATCCATTTGTGAGATTAAACAATATTGTTTAATGGTTGTAAATTTTTACAAACCTCTTTGGGTTTTTTGTTTGACCCAAACATAATGTAAGTCTCAATGACAAAATACACAAGGCCAACCAGAAATAAGTGAAAAAATAGTGTGTCCCTAATTTTGTGTGCCCCTATAATGCATGTGCAAAGTTTTGCAATATGTTCTTGCTAGCATGAATGTGCTATGATTACTTCATGAGGTTTTCTTTCACTTACAATCATGATAACAAATGCTGTATCATTGACACTGAACTGTAACCATAACTATTTACTACATAAATTATGTTTACTAACTACTAATGACTCTGTTTCATCAAGAACATCACACAAAAGCCATATGGCCCATAATATACAGATTTCAATTCACTCCTGAAAAATGAAATTTCTGTTCTTGGGATTTGCAGCCTGAGTTACATTATAAGGATATAAGGACAGGGATTTTCTTAAATGAGTTCATCTGAATTTTAGCATAGTAAGCATATATCCTATAATTTTTATATACTAACACAGCTCCAAATCCTTGTCAACGGCTATTTCCCACAGGGCTGAGCTGGGCTGGGCTGGGCTGGGCCTCCACTGGTAGGTCACAACCAGGTGGAGGGCTCAGGGCCCAGGGCTGATTTCTGTAAGCAACCTGTAAGTTCTCCCCTGGAGCCTCAAGGCCACAGAGATAATTCAGTGTCCAAAGCCTCTCCCTAATCATAGGTGGAAAATCAACTAATCTGACCACATTCTTCTCTAGCTTACTTCTCTGTCCTCAGGATCTTCCACTTTAAACACACTGGGACCTTAATTGGTGTCCCAACATGCCATGCTATTTATTATCCTCCAGACCTTCCTTCACTCCTTGTTCTGACTTGAGACTACATCACATTTGCAAGTAGTGTAGCTTGCCTGGTACCTAGGTCTTTGTGTAGCTCACTCCTCTATACCTGTGATTCTCAAACTTCTTTATACATCAGAATCAGTGGAAAGGGCTGTTAAACCACATTGCTGCTCATCTTCAACTTTTCTGATTCAGATCAGGAGTGGAGTTCAATAATTTTCATTTCTCACAAATACCCAAGTGATGCTGATTTTGGGAGAAATGTGGATCTCTACCAAAATAATTGTTCTGTGCCTTCCCCTTTTTTGTCTGCCTTGGTTTCTTAATGTATAAAATGAGGGGGCTAGCTGAGAACTAGGATTTCCTATTTTTTTAACAAGCAAAATCCATTTTACAAAAGAAATCTTATGTAGGATCCCAAAACATATACAATAGATAAAATCCAGGCTTCTCTAGAGAGTAGCAGAGGGGGAGCAAGAACTTACAGTACCCAGCTCCCCAGGAACAGGCATTCAGGCATTCACAGTACATATTTACAAAATCTCTTGACTAGAGGTGAGCTAGGTGCTCTTTGAGGGCTCCTTCAGCTGACATTCCAGGGTGTTAAAGGACAGCATTTACAACTGTATTGAAAAGGGAAGAATTGAAAGGAAATTGACTGCATTAACCGGTGCCAAAGACTGCTTTGCCTCTGCCTAATGCTTGGGTTCACATGGGACAGTAAATCTTAATTCTCATGGGCCATTGGGTTTAAGGCCCCTTTGATAATTTGGTAAAACCTGTGCACCAATTCTTAATTCAAAGAGGTGTTGGGGACTCCCTAGGCTCTTAACACAAGTTAAAACACAGCTAAGCTTTGGAAACAGCCCAAATGCCCAAAAATAGATGACTGGATCAAGAAGATGTGGTACATATATACCATGGAATATTACTCAGCATTCAAAAAGATAAACACATGCAATTTGCAGCAACATGGATGGCGCTGGAAGGGATCATGCTCAGCAAAATAAGTCAAAAAGAAAAAGAAAAATACCGGATGGTCTCACTCATAGCAGGAATCTAGAAAACTTAAATAAGGGACCAGGAAAATGAATAACTATAAGTGAAAATCAAAATCAACAAAAAAACTATGAACCAGAGACACTTTTTGGGGGGTGGGGGGCGGGAGGGGAGGGATTGGGTCAGAATGGGGGGTTTGCAATTGTATGGGGGAATATAAAAATAAAATTTATTATTTAAAAAAAAAAAAAAAAAAAAAAACCTCGACTGGGGCCTCCCCTGGTGGCGAAGCGGTTGAGTGCTGGGCTGTGAGGCTGCCCACAGCCTCTGCAGCGCCAGTTCGTTCCCCAGCCAGCGGCGAGGTCCCTCCCACCCCCCACCCAAACAAACAAACAAAAAAACCTCGACTGGACTCTGGTGTGATATTTACACTAAATTTCTCCTGGGCATTTTCATAGCATAAGCCTTCTCCTTCCTCAGCTAACTCAGGGCTGGAATGCTGCTGCTTCTGTCCCTTGCTTCCCCTTCTGTCCTCAAATTTGTCCCCCCAAAGATGCCCACTCTCTCATCCGGCTATTTCTTCCCAGTATGGGGATGGGGGATAACTTCATGGCATACTAGAACTCCTTTATGATACTTAGCAGAAGCATTAGATAATCAAAATTAGTGACTGTCCTTTCTCACTGGGCAGAAGGCTCCGAGGGCTAAGAATGTGGTTTATTCATCCATGTTTCTCGACAGTTTAGGACTGACACAGGATAGGCAGTGTGTCTGAGGGAATTGGTCTCTAATCTGACTCCAAAGCCCACCACAGGGAGGTCCACTTTATTTTTTCTGTGTCAAAGGAGTGGGAAAGTCATAAACATTTCCCTTTGGTTTTCATATGTTGTTTGGTACCAAATGAAGGAAGGCAGGGAAATAAGCCACAAGGCTATTTAGTATCAGCCTGGGTAGTCTTCATGCTGTCAGGGAGGTTCTGAGGTGGCTGGGCTCTGTAGCCAGCAATGCATTTCCTCTGGGGTTTATGCTTCCAAGTGAGTTGACAGTACTTTATAGCTAAGGGGAGCAGAAAGGCTGGAGGCAGGCAGAAGGTATGAGTGGGGCCTGGTGGTGAGAACAATCTGGGGCAAAGGAATTGCAACAGGGTGGTCCCCAGGAAAGGGGGAGGTTCCCTGCCCCACCCAAGGGAGGGTGGAGCTGAGCAGGAAGAGGAGAAGCTGAAGAAGAGACTGAGGAAGGAAGGAACAGGATGGAGCCAGGAGACCTGGAGGAGGCGCATGGAGCCTAGAGACACGTAAAGAAACTGCGCTTGTCTTTTGGTCGTGGACGGGGTGACCCAGATGTGGGTGAGACCTGTGGGGAGGTGACAATGGCAGCTTTTATCTTGATGTTGATTTTGCTCTTTTCCTTCCGGGCTTGTCCGGTTGTTTGTGACCCTTTGCTGTGGGTCCCCACTGGAAGATGCTTTAGACTTGTAGCAGGCTTTGGGGCCTTGTTCTGGGCCGATCCCATATGGATGGACTTTTACCCACGAGGGGACGGGTAACTTTGGGTGCTTCATTTAGAAACTAGACTCTTTGCCTTTCCTGTATTGTTTCCTAGTTTTATTAAAGTTCCTTCCCATTAAAGTCTCCTATGTTTTGTGTTGATGCGGCGGATGGCAGAACCCATTTAGAATAGGCAGGTTTGCGGGGTTTGGGCTACCCCTCTCCCTGTCCTATAACAGAATCACCTCCCACTCGAAGGCCTATTATAATCCCGCCATCTCTGGAGCCTCTAGAATAAAGCAAGGACTACATAAGTCTGGCCCAGAACACACACCCTCATCTCACAAACAACAGTTGATTATTTATTGTATTTCAAGGTAAAACAAAAAAGGCCCAAACATATTCAAATTTTCACCACTGCAGAAAGCTGAGCTTAAGTGGCTAGTATAGGTTGTCTCCCAGGTTATTTCATGGGCATCAGGTACACTGGGGAAGGGTGTGTGGGGGACAGGGGAGGGGGTTGTTGCCCCAGGAGGGCTGGAAGAACATATGCATCAGGGCAGGTATCAGAAGAGCTGCAGGCCAGTTTTAAGCCCATGTAGCTGGCCTTGGTTCCAGAGCAGGCCCTCCAATTTACTGCTGCTGTTGCTGCCATTGCTGCAGTTGCCACTGCCAGTGCCACAGCTCAGGCCCAGAGTACTGTGGAGAGAGAACAGGGGTCAGATAGGAAAAAAGGTTGCATTTGGCTCTGAAGAGCTAAGTATGCTTGATGTGTATGTGCCTATGAAAAGGGCCCACTGTCCCACCTGGCTTTATAAAGAAGAGACTGGAATAAATGTGAGAAACTACTTAGGATGCCCCCATGATGGCTCTGCCTTTTCTTCAGCTGAAGGAAAGGAGGAAAGAATGGCCTTTTCAAATGAAACATTATGTAGAGCCAGTAGCAGAACTATTTGGATTGAGGTAGGAGAAGGACCCAAACCAACCCACTCCCAGGAAGATACTGAAAGTGGCTGCCTAAACACACTGACTTCCAAGGCCCTAGAGCTTGGGGAAAGACCCTGGGCTAGATCCTTTCCTCCCACCCCCAAGAGCTGGTTACGAGGCCCAAGGCCAGGCTGGGACTGTAGGGATAGGCCAAGCACCATCCTAGAACTACACAATTGCCCTAAATGAGATGACAGCAGGCCCTCCCTCACCCTGGCCTAACTCAGAACATTTTTGCTTCCCCTGCTTCTTGCAAGTCAAAGGTCCTTCCAGGTTGATGAGGGTGACAGCTGAGAGCCCATCATCCTTCCCTTCAGGCAGATCCACGATTAAACTACTGCAGCTGAAAAAACCCTTAGAGATGATCTAGTCCCAGCCCCCTCCCATCACCCATCATTTTCCAACTGAGGCCCAGACATGAAAAGGCATATACCCATGGCATATAGCCAAGTCAGGGGTGGGGCAAAGACAAGGTTCAGGGAAGGTGGTGTGGGGTGGGATGGGGGGTGAGCCATGTCCACTCTTGCAGAGGAAGCCTACCTACTAGCGGGGGTCTGGATTTAACAATTCCATCTACCCACACTTAACCTTTGATACCCTGATGCTCATCAAGCCATCCTGGCCCAAGTGGAGAGGTTGTTTCTCTCAGACGTGTGGGACCCACTCCCAACTACAGACCACCTGGCTTTCCCCAGCTGTCTCTTCTCCAAGAGGCATGCTGCTGGCCCAAGACACTGTCTATAGCACTGCCTTGGGCATGGCCTGGTGTTGGGGCCCCTGGGTCCTATAGCCCTCCAGAGGAAGGACGTATCTCCCCAGGAGTGGGCAGATGGCACAGGAACAGACTGTTTCAGGGGCCCGCAGGGGTCTCTCTCTGGTACTCACAAGATTCTCCCGGTCACAATGGCCCCCGCATTCCGGAATGTACAGGCCTCTGGACGGGATCCTTTGTGTTACCAGCAGAGCCCCTCAGCAAGGGCTGCCTGGGTCCTGGCTCCCTGATGACCCAAGGGCTCCCACGCCTGTGATCCAGAGGCGAGTTTCGAGGGAGAGCATGGAGTCCTGCACAGGCTTTGCTACCAAGATGCCTGGACAGTGCAGGAAGGCCTACTGATTACTCTGAGTACCTGTGGACAGATCCCATCCCCTTTCTGGGCTTCAGTTTTCTCCTCAGGAACATGAAAAAGTTGAATTAGAGCATCCATTCTTGACCTTTTGGCGCTGGTGGACCCTTTACAGAATCGGTCAACAGCTATGGACTTTTCTCCTCCCAACCTGTGTGTACTCATACGTGTGTGCACACACATGCACACACATGCAAAAACTGGATGCATCTGAGAGAAGTGCAAAGCCAGTTCTGTATGACTTCCTCACTGGCTCCCCCAAATAGAGGCTGGGAGACCTGACAAAGGCACTGATTGGGGAAAGCTACCCCCCCCCACATTGTGTCGTCCTCTCCCTTTCTCCCCTCCTTTCCCCTGTAGGAGGCAGAGAAAGGGGTGAGAAATCCTGCTGCCATGGGCACTCACCCATTTTTGCACTTTGGAGGTTCCAGCCGCTGCTCTAATACAGGCTGGTCCAGAAGATACATGGTGTCATAATTCTCCAGCATTAGCTCTGCTGGATCCTCAGTCTGACCTGGCATTCGGCCTAAAGGAAAGGTGTCCCATCGCACATCTTCTATAGAACAAAGGGCCGAGTCAAGAGCTGGTTCTCAGATGGTTGACATCACACAGGCTATGGCCCACATCTACCTGCCTTCAGTGTGTACACATACATACAAACACATACACACACACCAAACTGTTCATTCCTTTGAGGTTTCCCTGCGTTAACATTCCTGCTGCCTTTACCTAAAAGAGGGTACTCAAAAACCCACCCTCATGAGCAAACTTATGTTCCCCTACTTTTTTATCATTCAATCCTTCCTGTTCCCTCCTGGCTTTATCGAACTTGTATGTGGACCATGAAACCACACCACTTTAATTCTCACTCTTCTGATCTTACTTATACCTCCTCTGACTTAATGCCCTTGATGCCTTCTTTCTCATACACACAGCAAAACTCTATCTTATCACCATCCAGCCTCTATGTGTATATACACACTCCTGTATACAGAAAGCTCTTTTGTCTCCCTGTCCCTGGATCACCACATGTGATAAACACATGCAGAATCACATACCCGTCCATCCCTCTCTCACTTCTCTTGCCTGTTTTGTTGCCCCATACTCATACCCTTAACATCCCTTCTGAATGTGCTCTCTGCATGAAGCAGTTAATAGGCTGGTAGTACTTAAGTCCCCAGCACTTACACACACCATCGTAAGGTGAAAGAAATCTACCTGTCACCATACACCGAGCTGCTTCCCAGGCTTGCTCACACTGGATAGCACCTGCAACTTTCCATCTCTTCTCTAGGGTGGAGGGGAGACTCAAGAATCAACCAGACAAGGAAGATTAGTGCAGGGCCACAGTGCATATTAGGCTTCTTACCTGAGCTAACTTGCCATGCAGAGCCCTGCAAAGCTTCTCTTTTCTGGGCAAGGAGTAAGGCATTCTCAGCAGTAGGAGTCTCCTCCTCTGTAGAGAAAGGCCCCATCTCCATTCTGTCTTCCTCCTCCTCCTCCTCATCATCATCTTCATCATCATCATCCTCATCCTCATCATCCTCATCCTCCTCTTCCTCCCACTTCTCCTGGACATCATTTTCGTCTTCTTCATCTTCCTCCTCCTCCACATGGTCTTCCAAGACAACTTTCTCTTCCTCCTCATCTTCCTTGATATCATTAAGGGTACCCTGCTCCCCCTGATGCTGACCTTTTCCTTCAGGCCTGGAGCAGCAGTCAGCTGGTTTGAGGTTCCAATACAGTCTATCCAGTGTGTATGGAGACTTCCCAAGGGAGGAAGTCTCTGAGCCCTCTTGCACCAGGCTCTTATCTCCACTCTGAGTATAAATGGAACAGATGTGCAGAAGCTTCTCCTGCTCCTCGTCAGGCAGGACCTGACCCATGGCTTTGAAGATGCTGAGCAAAGGGAGGGATGAGGTAAGAAAGATTCAAAATCTCAAGTCACTTCATACCCCAACACTTCAAGGTTTGAATTTGGTCTGTGACCTTCTAGATCTGCCTCTGAAAGGCAATGCAGTAGAGCAGAGAGAACACAGAAAGAACAGGACCATGGACCCAGAACAAATTCTACAATTCACGTCTGACTCACTTCTATTCTTAGGAAAATAAGGACAACAATGGTAAATGACTTATAGGGTGGGTGGGAGTAAATAACAGCTTATATAGAATGCCTGGCACAGTGCCTAGCACATAGTGGGCAGGCAATAAATGATAGCTATTAGTCTGTACTAAAACGCTACGTAAATAAACAAACTAGCCAACAGGCCTGAAAAACATGAGAATAGCAGATCCCTCTCTCCTTCTGGCCTAGCTGGATAGTCTGTCCTGAGTCCCAAAGATATGCCTGGAAGTATACCGGGCACCTTCTGAGCGGAAAACAAAGTGGGATCACTTTCTGGGAACAACTATGGCCCAGCCTGGAATGCAGAAAAAGGGAAAAAAAAAGCAACAGCTGACAAGAGAAAGCAGGATGTGGGAGGGAGGCCTGATGAGCACTTTGTGTCCTCAGGCACTGTAGGAGCTGGGGAGAGGCCGAGAGCACAAAGAGGGCAGGAGAGATCAAGGGAGGGTTTCTTGCAGATTCAAGAGCTCTCACACTGCGCACTGTGGTGCTTTGTGTGCAGTGAGAGGAGCCTGGTTTGAGGGGAAGGGCTCTGCTGAGGAAGAGAAGGCTACAAGGTTATGTGTGTGCTGGGCAGGGGAGTCACCTTCCACCCTGTGCACAGGTTAAGGTTGCATTTCTAAAGATCACCATGTTGGGCCTCCCCTGGTGGCGCAGCAGTTGAGCACTGGGCTGCGAGGCTGCACGCAGCCACTGCAGCACCAGTTTTTCCCTCGGCTGCCGGTGAGGGTCCCACAAAAAAAAAAAAAAAATCACCATGTTGCCCCTGTGGAGGATGGTCTGGTCAAGGTGGCCTGGAGGCAGGGGCAGGGAGACCAAGGAGAGTTGGTGAGGAATGAATGACCTAGGACACTGGTAGTGGAGAGGTGGGGGAGAGAAGCTGTGAAGGACAGACAGAGCAGGGCTTGGTGACCAGATAGCAGGGGTCTGGCAGTGGAGAGTTAAAGATGATGACATTGTGCACACACAGGATGACACTAATAGCAAAACCACCAACAGACACAGAGCCATCAGGAAGGAGAACCCCTGGGGAGGAAGAGGGTGAGCATCCCTTGCAGAACCCCACATACAATCCGGCACCCTGGGAGGCACCTGGTTATGCTGGAGTCATGGGCAGGGTGGACAGATGGCTAGTTTTCATGAGGGTGTGTCAAGTTTGACTACCAAGGCACTGTGTGCTCCGCGGGTGGCCTCTCTCTGGGTCCCACAGGTGCACTGACCACACATGGCCTCTGCTCACTAGTTGCTGGGAGAGGGCCGTAGGAGACTGACTTCACTGGGAGACCCTCTCTGCAGGGCTAATTTTATATTCTGAGAAGACACTGGCTCAAATTGAATTGACATTGGCTGGCTGGGGAAGCTCTTGAAAAGTTTCCAGCTTTACTGGAGGAAAAGTCAGAGAAACTCTTCCTTCTGACTCTGTCCATTAGCACGATTAATAATAAATATTCCCAGGCCTCCCCAGTGGCACAGTGGTTGAGCGCTGGGCTGACGAAGCTGCCCGCAACCTCTGCAGCACAAGTTCAATCCCCAGCCGCTGGCGAGGGTCCCACATGGCGCGCAGACATCTCCTGCCGCCCGCTGCTCCCCTCAGCAATGTACTTCATCGGTCTGCCTGTTCTGCTCCCCGCTCTGGCTCTGGCGAATTCTTTCACCCCCAGTCCCCGGCTTCTGACTGTACCCAGTGCTTGTATAAATAAATAAATCTTTAAAAAGATAATAAATATTCCCAGGCACTTGATATTGGCGAGATGCAGTATCACCGATGTTTATTATTACCCACCCCCTATCCTGAGCTGTCTAGTCTGAGCACTGAGGTGCAGGATGACACAAATCTTAAAAATGCCTCTCCTTCCTTGGGCTCAAGACTAAGAAAGTCGCCAGTCAGGATGGTGGACAAAAGGTTGACTTTGGACTCAGAAGACCAGGGCCAAATCCCTGTCCCACCATAAACAGATTATGCAACTTCTCTGGTTAACGCTCTTCTCTCCTCAGAGACTCAATGTCGTCTGTCATGTAAGGGTGTGATACCACTACTGAAAGGTTGCCATGTCAAATAAAATGTAGTAATGTGTACAAAAAGCACAGCACCATGTCTGACCCTTAGTTGCCAGTGATAGCTTTCATTCTTCCTCTGGGGAAAACAAAAGCCATGTTCTGTAGACACCTACTGACACACACTCTCTGGCAACAGTGCAATCTAGTGGAACACTGTAGAGAGGGCACAGGAGAAAGGACAGGATATCTGGATCTGGCCCCAGCTCAGACATGTGGACTTGCCAATGACTTGCAGCATTACACCTACCAAAACCCCATTTCCCAATTTTTACAAAGGGATTAGGAATAGATTCACTGATTATCTGGGAAAGACGGGATCTGTGCACAAGAAATCGTACCCAAGTGAGCCGCTGTTACTGCTGGCATGTGTTGCATTCTCTGGTATGCTTGGGTTGGAAGAAGGTCTCTGTGGTGCAGACTTCTCCGAGACCAGCAGCTTCCACTCTGCAGGCACTTAGGATTGGAAAGTACCTTGAAGGCCACCTATCCAAACCTCTCCATGCTGCTCTTTTTACTCCCTCCCCACATTGCATATCCATGCCATGTTCCTTCTGACTTCGTAACTTTTATTCTTTCTCCTGCCTGAAAGCCTGCTATGTGATGATTGCCTGAACCAGGCCTTCTTGGTTTTCCTCCCAGTTTCCCACCCATCCATATCATTTCTAACATAGAATATACACATTTGGAGATTTGGCTGTTTGATTCAGTCCCATCTCCTGGAGGTTTTGCTCTGGCTGACTTTTTCTACAAGGCTTTTTTTTTTTTTTTTCCTTATACGCTATTACTCATCCCCAAATGTTGTCAGGGCACAAGAAAGACTTTTTGACTTTATTGGTGGGGGTTGGGGGGGGAGACAGGGAGCTAAAAGGGTCTTGACATCCAGATTACCACTTCATTTATTCCCTAGGGATAGTCAGCTCCCACCAGACAGCACTGCTGGCAATGAAACAGCAGAGTATAGTTTAGTTCAACAGCATTTACTGAAGTCTATTTGGGGCCTATATTTATGTGGTATGCTGGGGCACAGATGGTGAATACGGAGCCCTTGCCCTCAAAAAGATTAGTTTGATGGAGGGAAGGAGACACGAGGCGAAATATACATGGCAACACAAAATCTCATATTTGGAAAGAACTTGAGAGTCAACATGATAGGGTACATGGGCCACCTCCAAGTGAGATGAGGAACAGAGAAGGAAGAGCACTTTGGGGTTGGGGTGGAGAGTTAGATGACCAATTCTCTTTTGGCCATAGTAAGGTGCCTGTGGGCTATCCAAGGGGAGATATTTGACATGTTACCACATATAGGAGGTTCTTATGGGAAAGCCTGCACTAGAGAGAGAGATTTGGGTTTGGGTACTTTATAGGAACTTGTAAAAAAGCACAGGCCTTTCCAGGGAGTGGTAAAAAGCATCAATAGAGCAGACAAAACGATGGACAAGGGCCCGGTAGATTTAGTAATAAGGAGGCTGAAGAAGCTCTCGCAGTAAATGCAAGGGTAGTGACAAAATTTTGAGGTTGTAGAGTATAGACTATTCTTCTGAGATATTTTATGGGAGGGGAAGGAGTAATAAACTGGTGATAACCTAACAGAGGGATGCAGGGGAAATGGTGATTTTGCTTATGTTGCTGTTGTTTTAAGATGAGAAAAATCAGGCATATTCATAGGTTGAAGAACAAGAACCAGTAGAACAAGGGAGAAGCTGGGGGTGAGGTCCCAGCAATGATGGCAGAGGTGGTTCCAGAGCACAGGTAGAGCAGGCTTTGAGGTAGGCAAGGCCACCTCATCCTGAGACTGGCGAGAAGGTTGAGTGTAGCTGTAGATCAGTTCACGAGTGCTGGACCTTAGGTCGAGGGGGCCCTGCTGGATGCCTCAATGTGCTTGAGGAAGCTAGGGTGAAATGGGAGATGGGGAGGGACTGAGGTGAATAGTAAAAGGGTTTAGAACAGTCAGGAAATGGAAGAGAAAGTGGGCAGAAAACAGGTAAAAGTTTCAGACAAGCAGAACTGAGGCCTGGCTCAAGATTAAAAATCCTATCTCTGCAGTGGCAGTAATCCGCAGGGCTATGTGGTTTTCTCCAGCAGAGCTCAGCTACCTGGGCTGACGAGTAGGGGAAGCAGAGTGGGGAGGATCAATCTCAGCCGGGGCGGGGGGGTGGATTGCAAGTCAGAAATGCCAAAGGATGGGCAGAGCTGAGTATGCTGATGATGAGTGGCTAAAGTAATCACCCACAGAAAGGACTGAGGGGAGGCAAGGTTGACGGAGGCAAGAAATGGAGTAATGGATGTCTGGATGTAGGCAAAGAGATATCAGGGTGAAAACTGGAAGGGCAAGAGGTTGTGGTCACTGAGTAGGCTGCTGGGATGTCAGCTTTCAGAGATGAAACAGTTCTGAGTGATAGAAATGGGTTGCTAAGTGTAGTGGAGATTGAAGGTCACTGGAGTTGAAGAGCTGTAGTGTCAGATGCATCACTCAAATGAAATAGCTGTTTCAGAAAGCAGGAAGAGAATAGGGTGCTAAAGGCTTTCATGAGTATGACAGAAGTAGCTTAGAATCAGGAAATGACAGAGAAGAGGAAAGGGAGACAACCATAGATATTTACAGGAACCAATGCAATAATTAATTCAGTTTGATCATAACATCTAGGGTGGATAGGATAGGGAGGAATCACAGGAGGTATGGTTACCATGATAGGGCAGGGGAAAATCCAAAAGAAAGTTACATGTCAGGCTGACTAGAATTAATGAGGAAGGCAAAAGGGAGTCACTGAAGGTTGTTGAGCACCTATGCTTTGGGAAACTAATGAGAAGATAGCACTGGGCTTAGAGTCAGAAGACCTAATAAATATAAGCTACCATTTATTGTGCACTTACTCTGTACAGGCCACTGTGCTAAGCACTCTAGGGGGATTGTCTCATCTTTATCAGGCTGACTTTGCTCAGCCAGGTCTTAGGCTATATGAAGTTCAGCAAGAATACTTTATCCCTCCCCTTTCTGGGAGTCCCATCTGTTATTAAGAAAATGGGACTAGATGAACCTTGCAAGGGGCCCATCCAACTATGTCATTCTCAGGCTGTGCAGCCCTGAGGCTTATAAGACCTCACCCTCTTACCAGATGGAATTTAAGAAACTTACAGCTGAAGGAGTTGGGGGCTGGCCCAGCAAGGTGAGCCCAAGCAGGACTCAATCACCCGGGGCCAATCAAGGGAGGCAGAACAGTTGAATAACCTCCAGCTCTTTCTTGACTCCCATTGGCTTGCAGAAAATCGGCGGGCATTTCGTCCTGAGAGAGAAGAGAGAACTTGAAGAGGAAGAATCAGTAAGACCTTCCCAACCCAACCTTACAACATGAAAACCTTGGCTCTGTCCCTACCATCCCCGACGCCAGACTCTATTTCCCAATTGCTCAAAATATTCAGGGTTCTCAGCCCCAGCCCAGTTTTCTTGGCTCTGAGAAGAAAAAGATGGGAGGAAATTTGTTCCCTGCTGCCACAGAGCCTTCTTAGCAAACCTAAATCCTTAACAAGGGACATGTCTATCTGGTACTATTCAGCTGAGAGCTGAAGACAGTGGCAGATGCTCCTGCCTGGGCTGCCTTAGGCCCTGGGGCTAGGGCTAGTCTCCCTCACCAGTCTTGGTGTTAGCCACGATCAGTTCAACTGTCCATCTGAGGATGTAGGTGGGCCGGATCCCGCTGTCTCCCAAGGTTGGCAGCTCAGAAAGCATCCTCTCCAGCAAGGCCTGCGTGAAGGTCTGGGAGTGCAGGCCCCTAAGCAGGGGCTGCCAGAATTGAGAGAACGGCTTTGGCACCATGACATCGTTCAAGTCCATGTTTTCTGGTTTGTGAGGGACACCCATTGACAGGAAAATGGGAAGCAGGGGCCAATGGGATATAGGGAGAGGTGGGGGAGAGGAAGAGGGAAGGAGGGAGTAAAGAAAAGAGGGAAGAGAAGGAAAGGGTGAGAAAGAAAAAGAGGAAGAGAAGGGGAAAGAGGAGGAAAGAGAGGGGGCCCCACCACCACCCACCAACAGAGTTGCCACCACAGAACCAGGAGGAAAGAGGAGAGCAGAACATCAGGAGAGAAACCAGTTAGTATCTGGGAACCAACAAATAACTCAAAACAGTATGTAAGAAAAAGAGCTCTGATTCTAGCTTCAGCTTTGTCAATAACTCACTGTGTGACTTTGGTTCAGTACCTTCCCCTCTCTGGACCTCAGTCTGCCCATCTGTAACATGAGGATGTTGGACTAGACGACCTCACAAGGCCCTTCCAGTTCTGCTGTTCTAGCTCTCTAGCAAGTGGCTAAATCACAGTTAACACAGTACAATAATGACATTACGTTTCCCCTCTCCCCTCCCACCCCAACCAATTCCAAGGCACCTAATAATAGCCCAACAACTGCAACCTGTTCTGCTCAGCAGAGAGGGGCTTCCAGAGGGGATGGCAAGAAATAGCCCTTGCCCCCCTGCCCAAGGTCACCCAACCTACCCCTGGTGTTCCTGTGCAGGAAACACAGTACGCTAAAGCTTCAGTGAACCCCCAAGACCCTACCTTCATATTCTATCTGCAAAGCTGCCAACTGCTCAAACGTGGGGACAAGAAAGCCATCATCCAGAAAAGCATCCAGCACAGCCTCCCTGGAGCAAGAGGACACTTAATTAAGCAACCTGAAGCAGACAAAAGACCCTCACCTCCTTTCCTATTCACTCCCAAGGCAGCTAGTGTCTCCAGCTCAAGTAGCCAAAGCAGCAAGGTGAGCAAAGGAAGGGAGCTGAAAGCTGAATCTCAGGCCTCAATGTCCTGGGCATGGGCCAGAAACAGATCTGTGGGTTTTGAATAAACTTTTATCAAGCACACACTGAATGACTTAAGGACCATAACAAGGGCTACAGTTGCTACACAAACCCAAAAACACAGAGAAAAAAACCTAGGCTCACAGAAGGCAAGGACTTTTAGACTTCAGTTCCAGTTTAGCATTTTTGTTTCTTGACAGTCCTCTGATCTTCTACCCATCCCCTTCTCCCTGATTGTGCTCTTTCAGATCCTAGAGGCAGAAACTTTGAGGACTCAGTGGCAGAACCAAATATCATCCTTAGTCCCAAGGACTCTGAGAACCCAGAACAAAGATCAAAAGCTACAGGGTAATCTCTCCTCCCCATCCAGTACAAGTAAAAACAAGCAACAGCAGTCATCTCCTCCAGAACTGGAAGCTCCCCAACAGAGGTTCTTCTAGCTGACCAGTCCGAGAGGGGAAACAAGAGCTTCTAAGGTGTCACAATGCCTGCATAGTTGTCATGCTCAGATCGTTTCCTCCACTAGGCTCAAAGGAAAGAGCTGTTGTTCCATCCCTCTCCCATCTCCTCAGGTCAATATCCACTTAAAGCAGCCAGTGAGCTGCCTGCTCAGCACCAGGAGGCAAACCCTACTGTGCAGATGTACAAGGGTAATTCTTCCAGCTACTGAAGGGGCTACCCACCCAACTGATGCTGAAGGATGTGACCAAGGAGCCAAGGTTGGGCAGACATTGATAACATTTTCAGATTTAGTAGTATCCTAGGAATATCTGGGGACAATCCTAAACTATAATTTAAGCTCCACATACCAATGGACAGAGGGGAAAAAAGCTGGCCAGAAGATGGATGATAGCAGACATTCCTGCCTCTGATCATTTTAGGAACTCAGAGTAGGCAAATTCCCACTTGGTAGCTGGCAGGGCCAGGGGAAGAGGATCATGCACAATACAGTATCACTCTGTGAGGGATCAGAATTAACCCTGGCATTTCCTATAGCAAAAGTTGGCAAGCTTGAATATGGAGACCTTTTTCAGTGAGGCTGCTATACTCTACATTAGGGAGGAGGCAGCCCCTGATTACAGTTACTTACCTGTTCTCCCATATAATGCCTTTAAGCTCTGCCAGGATGCACTCTACAGGTGGAGACAGATTATTCCACGCCTTAATGGCCTGAGGCAAATGCCTAAATTTCTCCAGCACCTGTGGGCAAAAAGAGTCCCATCAGAAGACTGGTTCAGTCAGACAATTCTCCCCCACCCCTCCAAATGCCTTCCCATAGAACCTCTCAAGACCTCCCTTCAGGTGATCAAGCAGAGCATGCAAAGGTGAGCTCACAACTTCCCTATTGGCCTTGAAACTAAAAATGTCTAACACTCAAATGTCAGACTTTCTTCTCCTGCTCTCCTCCTCCTTTCCAATATCCTTAATCACCTGTGGTTTCCAACCACCAGATACCCCAATACTGAAAAATCCAGTTGGGGCATCTCTCCAGGCCTCAGGCAAAGTGATGAGGGGAAATAATGGGTTATGGAAGAAGGGATTCAGAAGACCCAGGTTCTTATCCTGGCTCTACCACTAACTGTATCTGTTACCTTGGGTAAGTCCCTTCACTGTCAATGGCTTTAATTTCCTTGTCTGTGAAAAAGAAGGATTGAGCTGAATGGTCTCTATAACTACCACCTTTCTTAAAACAGCACTCCTCAAGCTCACCTGATCTAGGAGAGTTCCTGGGTGCCATCTGCTAGTCAGCTTCAGTAATGCAGAACTATGCAATCACCTATGCCCAGTTGTTCCGTACACCAAGTGGGGCAGATTATCCACAAACTTCCATCATCTGCTCCCTTCCACTGGTGTAGAGGATCAGTCAAGCAGACTCTGCTCCTCTTGTCCTTCTGACTTTCCCCCCTCTCTTTTTCTGAGAAGTTCCCTCAAGCTTTGCTACTTTTCCTTCAAATCTTTCTCAGGACTTCTCTCAGGTAGCTGGCAAGAGGGAAGAAATGGCTGGAATAGGTGAGAACAAGTCAAGTTAAGATCCATTTTCTTACCTTAAACTGCTCCTCTTCAAATGATACAAGCAGTTCTCGGGTTCTTTCTGAAAAAAGAAAGGGAAATAGATAGGGCATTCAATCCAGTGGCCTGTTCCTGATGGGATTTTGAGTCTCTCTCACCTCATTTTTTGTGTTGTAAACTGGGAATTAAGATTCTTGTCTCACCTACTTCACAGGGCTTAAAGAAGATCATTTATGATAGTGATTTTTTAATCTAAAACTCACCGCAACCCCAGAGGAAATGCAAGCCAGGGAAATAATCAGTGTCCACACTAAGTCTGAGTCTTCTAGGCTCATGGGCCCCTCTCTGTTTCCCAAGGACACCTACCATAGAGCTCTTTATGTCTCAGAGCCTTTTCCCAATGTGGATCAACCTCTTTGTTGCCTTCACTGTCTCCGTCAGCCTTGACATCCAGCTCTGCACCTTTCCCCTCATGCTTAGGCTCTGGTCTCTGATCAGTGATGTCATCAGCAATGTTTTTATCTTCCTCTGGATCATCTTCATCTGTCTCTTCCCTGTCCTCCTCCAACTCCCAGGTTTCTCTCAGGCTATTCTCCAGTTGGCGGCACCAATAGGTCTTCTGGAGCCAATCCAGGACAAAGTAGCAGCCTAGAAGAAGGGAGGAAGAAAAGCAGTATCATAGGCATGGCCATAGACAAGCAACTTCCAACAGGTCCCCAGCTCTCCCAGCTCCCAGCCTCATCTTACAAGGCCCCAAGGGAAGAAAACTAGCTCCAAAAAAGGCACAAATCTCAAATATCCAGGGGCAGCCCCTCTCACTCTGGGTTATCCCCCTTCTCTTTGCTTTCTCCTGTCACTAGTACATCTTCTAGAAAAAAGTAATACTGGACTTGGAGATGGGATGTAAAAAACAGGGCTGGAAAGTAGAAGAACAGAGACCCTGCCCCACTAACTACTTAATGGCCTTAACTAAGTCTCTTCCCTTTTCTAGATTTGTTTCCCCAACATGAAGGGAATAGTTTGAATCAGGGGTTCTTAACTGGGATGGGGTATCTAAAGAACCCCTGGGTTCATAATACTTGGTGGCACACACTTCTTAAACCACCCCTTACTCCTCTCCTCAGACACAAAATTTAAGGCAAAGTCAAAAAACTCAGTATCAAGATATCAAACTAAATTAGAACAGTGCCAAGCCATATTGGAATATCTGAAGCAAAAGGAAAAATAAATAATATTAATTCTGTTTTTATTTAAAGTTCTGACATTGTGTTCACCATGGGGTTTCTGCACCAAAACACTATTTAACTTGATTGCTGAGCTTTTGATGCCCTCCTTAAAGTTTGTGGCTCGCTGTCTCATCCCAGTCCAAGCTCTGACCTTAGGCAGAGATCTTCCTCTCTCCACATTGCCACCACTGTGCCCGAGAGGAGTAAGGGGTGCTTTGAGAAGTGTGTGCCATCAAGTGTTATGAACCCAGGGGTTCTTTGGATACCCCATCCCAGTTAAGAACCCCTAACTCAAGCTATCCCCTTTATATTGGGGAAACAGATCTAGAAAAGGGAAGAGACTTAGTTAAGGCGATGTAAGTAGCTAGTGGGACACCAATCCCAGGTCCCTATGCTTAACTGTGATGTTTACTCCCCGGAGACTCACCTCTACGGCAGTCATTTATATGGGGCATTTTCTTGTGGGTCAACTGATGGCGAAGTTCAACAACCCAATCCGGAATATTCACCTGATTGTAGGGGAGGGTGTAAGTGCAGAAATTAGAAAATATTAAAGCTGAAGGGACCACACAAATGAGTTAGCCTGGCTTCTCCCAAATTTATAGATAAGAGAAAATGAGGTCCTGAGAAGCAGTTCTGATCTTAGTGGTAGAGTCAACATTAGATAGTGGCTCTCCTAATTTGTTTTATTGTTTTGTGGAGGTAGTCTTGCAGATTCAAAAAGATACTAGCCTCCCCTAACCACCAACCACTCTTGTCCAACATAGAGATACTGGTCTGTACCAGTCTCTTTACCTAGGTACCCTTTACCTCCCTCCCTCTGTCCTACACCTTGTCCAAGTAGCACCTCTTAATGACCAAAAATCTGCCTGCCCTCTGGGCACTACACACCTTAAATACTCACTCAAGGAAGGAAAGGCTGGTATTTTCATGCTGCTTGGCTGAGCTTGTCTCTTTCCTCAGATAGTCAGCTCCCTGAGGGCAGGTACTTTGACTGCCACCTCTTTCTTGTCCCCACCCAGCAGTACAATCTTTTTTTTTTTTTTAAGATATATTTATTTATTTATGCAAGTACTGGGTACAGTCAGAGGCATGGGAGGGTGAGAGAATTCACCAGAGCCAGAGTAGAGAGTAGAACAGGCAGGGTGATGAAGTACACTGCTGAGGGGAGCAGCGGGCGGCAGGAGAGGTCTGCGCGCCATGTGGGACCCTGGCCCAGCGGCTGGGGATCGAACTGGCGCTGCAGAGGCTGCCAGGCAGCTTTGCAACCCAGCGCTCAACCGCTGCACCACCGGGGAGGCCCACCCAGCAGTACAATCTTAAGTCTCAGCTTCACTGGGCCACTTCCAGCATGTTGAGCAGACCAAGACTACTGAGATAGTAGCCATAAGCAAGAGACAGGCTCTGGTGTTCTTGATGGGCTAGGTCACTAGTAGTGGGATAAGATAGTCTGACTGTCTGCTCATATCAACCCAGGACTGATTTAAAGAGTCCTTCTAGAGAGAGAGAATTAATCAAGACAACTTTATCATACACACCTCCTGAGCCAGGAACTTGAGGGGGAGCTTGGCAAACTTTGTCTTCCTTTCCGAAATAAGATTCACAAACCTGGGGTAGGGGAAAAAATAAGTGGCACAGCCCAAGTAACATAACTGTTTTATTAAAACTAGTTGGGGCTGCAAAACACCCTGCATGTCCACAATCTTTCCAGTGACTATTCTATCCTGTTCCAATGGTTGGCATCAGCCATAACAGGGATGGGTTCCATCCAGTCTGCCCTCTACTGAAGCCCTATAGATGAGTAAGACACTAGTCCAGTCTTGAGGAGACCTGTCTAGAGTAAGTAATCATGACACAATATAACATATCATACTAAAACACAATATGTTACAAATGTAAGAACAAAAGTTTACATCAAATGATATGGAAAGCACAGCTAAAGGAAGGAGAAGGTAAGAAGAGCTAGGAAGGACCTACTGGCAACAAAGGGAACGGTATGCGGTGAGCAAAGACTTTAACAGATGTGAAAACTCAGTGGCAGCCTTTTTCTCAAAGTAGTGAGTCTCTAGAACTATTTGAGTTACTTTGTAAGTCAGGAACTTCTAGCCCATGTCTCCACTTACACCACTTAGCAACATTTCAGTGTTCATGGAGAGAAGGAGGAAAGGCTGAGTGGTGCTAGGTATAGATAGGGGCAGGATTGGAAAATTCACATTACATCATGACCAAGAACATAGAGCCAGTCAGAAAAGTTCCTTTGGGTAACAGTTAAAGGGAAAGAAATGATAAAACTGTCAAAGCTATAAGAGACCCACAGGGATCACTGGCAGTGAACCAATCCGACATTCCAAGCAAGAGGGAAAAGAAATATAAAAGAGAGAAGGCTTTCAGGAAAAGAAAACGAAGAATGTGTGCTGACAGGTGATACCAAAAGCTGTCAAGTCAATCAATCACAGGCTGACTCACAGAGATACACAGGGTATTTTGCTTCAGGTAGCACCTGGAGACAAGATTTCCTTATCACATGCTATACCCACACCCACCTCCACCCCCCACCCCAACCAATGTAGGTCTTACCTGACCAGTGCCATGCCATAGAGCAGTCTAAGTTCATCAGTGCCCAAGCCACCAGTTACATCCATGAGCTTACAGCGTACCAGGTCAGCAGTAGAGGCCACTGCCAGGGGGAGTTCGTTTCCTAACCTAAAGGGTCACAGTCCAGTACCATCATAAAAGTCCCTTTCACTGGTCCACCCTCCACCTCAGAATTTAGGTTGATGTAGCCTATCCCTACTATATACTGGCTCGAGTGAATGAACAGACAAATCAAGAAGGTGGGAAGAGGGTAATGACCCTGGAATCCAAAAGTATACAGGGCATGAAAGGCTGGCTAGGCTATACATAATACACCTAACTGCAACACAATCAAACAATTAAGTGTGGATACACCCCTTTCCCTCACCCTGAAACTCTCAAATCATTCAGCTAGAGAAGACCCTTATCCCTTGAGACCTTTATCTCGTTTTTCTGTTCCCAACTCTATCTTACCAACCTGACTGAAGCACCCCATTCAAACATGGTTTTGCAGGCAAGTCGAAACCAGAAATCCTCCCTAGGGAGCTAACCTACGCCTTAAATCCTGGTTCAGCCACACTGGTCTCTTGTACATCCTCCCCAAGATTAATGAAGGTAAGAGCTAAACCTCACAAATTTGACAAAAGGGTTGTTGAGGCACACCTCCTTTCTTTCTACAAATGGAAAGAGCAAGAGCTTGGCTGCTACTTTTTCCCAGGCACCTGGGTGAAGGGTAACGCCCAAACCAATCATAGGGGCACCATTAGACAATTTGGGTAAGTCTGGCAAATAGGGCTTTATAGGAATTATACAAAAGAGGAGGTGAGGAGCCATCGGCACACTGGCAGGAAGACTGAATCTGTCGCCTTACCTGCTCCTCCACACGGTGATACGGTTCAAGGCATACCGTTGCAATTTATGGTCGTCGCAGAACAAATACACCGTCACCTGATCCCACTCGGCCCTACTGAGCCAGGCGACAACGACGCGATGGGCCCAGAGTGGCGATGACCCGTTTTCTTTGACGCACTTTCCGCACCACGCACTCCACACGCGATCCATTCCCCGGGGACCCAGACCTGGCGGGCCCCGAATTCCCTCCAGACACGGACTCTCTGCCAGGCCTGGTGCCACC